CAGATCATTTCTTTCTATTTTTTAGAGACAGGGTCTCGCTCTTGCTCAGGCTGGTCTCGAACTCCTGACCTTGAGCGATCCACCTGCCTCGGCCTCCCAGAGTGTTAGGATTACAGGTGGGAACCACCGCGCCCGGCCCTAATTTCTTTATTTTTGCTACAATTTGACATGTTTATTTGGTCTAACAAGGCTGCTCCTAGTAAAATAGTGGCTTAGATAGAAGATTTGGATTTGGGGCCCATCCGCACTCCCAAATTTACTGCAGCATTTTCACAATAGCCAGGATATGGAATCAATCTAAGTGTATGTTAACAGATTGATGGATAAAGCAGATGCGGTATATTCATATACGATTGATATTATTTGGCCTTGGAAGAAGGAATTCCCGCATGGGTGGACCTGGAGGACATTGTGTTAAATGAAATAAGCCGGGCACAGAAGGACGTGTACTGCATGATCCCATGTACATGTGGAATCTAAAAATTTGAATTCATGGGAACAGAGAGCAAAAGGGTGGGTATCAGGGTTTGAGGGGTGGAAGAAATGGGGAGATGTTGCTTAAAGGTACAAACTTTCATTTATAAGATGAATAAGTTCTGGAGATGTAATGTGCAGCATGGTGACTATAATTACTAATCCTGTAATGCATATTTGAAATTTGCTAAGAGAATAGTTCTTAAGTATTCACACCACACACACACACTCACACACAAACTAAAGCAAAAGGTAACTGTTTGAGGTGATGGATAGGTTAGGTAGCTTGATTGCTGCAATCATTTCGCAATGTATATGTATACTAAAACACCATGCTGTACCCCTTAAATTTTGTTGTGCTTCCTTAAAACAATTATTCTGGGGCCAGGTGCCATGGTGTGTACCTGTAATCCCAGCTACTTGGGAAGCTGAGGATTGCTTAAATCCAGGACTTTAAGACCAGCCTGGGCAACATAGCAAGACCCCATCTCAAAAACCAAAACAAATATTTTGAATTCTTTTGTCAGACAGTTCATAAAGCTCCATTTCTTTAGAGTTTGTTGCCGGTTCTTTAATTTGTTCCTTTGGTGGTGTCGTGTTTCCCTGAGAGGTCTTGATCCTTGTGGCCGTATTCTTCATTTGAAGAAGAAGAGACTTCTTCTGGTCTTTGCAGATCGACATTGTCTGGTAAAAGCGCTTCATTAGTCAGCCTGTCCAGATATTCTGGGCAGGCTGTATGGTGTGTTCTGTGGGTGGGCTTGCTGTCCGTGCTCAGACAGGCTGGCCTGGTGCCTGGGTCAGCAGGAGGGTGGGTCTGGCACTGGTCCATGGGGTTGGGCCTGGAGCATGTATCCGCTGGGGCAGAACCTGTTAATTGGGTCCGTGGGGGTGGGCCAAGTGCCAGCCTGGTGACTGAGTCCTTGGGTGCTATCCTGGTGCCAGGTTCACTGGGGTGAGCTTGGTGCTGGGGTGTGCAGCAAACTGCTCACTTCACTCTCTTCCCTCATGTGAAGGGTATCGCTCTCTGAGCTGCTCTTTGCATAATGTAAAATTGTCCCTCCAACCCTCTCCAGTGTGTCTTATTTCTGAGCTGCACCTAAGGTGCCACATGAGCTCTTGTGAAGGTATTTTCTTGCATGGACGGTTGTTTAAACTGATATTTCTGTGAGAGGATGAGCAAAGGAAAGTCCCATTCCACCGTCTTGTGGATGTCACTCTCTATTATATTCTTTCTTTGCAAACTTTCTGGTTGCTCTGTGAAATTTGGGAGACCAGAAATCGGGGTGTAAAAGGGCTAGATTTGTGAACATTTAGATTTCAGAGGGATTAAATTTTGGGAAACACAACTAAAGTAAATTAATTTGATGGCTTTTGCTGAGAGGGGTTTCAAGGGGCCTTGTAGCACACGGTGGTGTGGTAATACGTAGGGTTAATTTAATTTGTCGTTAGAGACTTTTTGACATTTCATCACTTTATTTTTTGTTCTTTGAATTTCTTCATTAAA